CAGCAGGTTAATGCCCTGGCCTGAAGCGCTGGCATCCCAGATAGGTGCCAGTTCTAGTCCCGGCTGCTCCTCTTCCGATCCAGCTCCCCGCTATGGCCTGGCAAAGCAGTGGAAGATGGCCCAAGCCCTCGGGCCCCTGCACCCACGTGGGAGACCTGGAAGAAGCTCCTGGCTCCCGGCTTCGGATCGGCTCAGCTCCGGCCGTTGCGGCCACCTGGGGAGTGAATCAGCAGATGGAAGACCTCTCTCTCTCTCTGTCTCTACCTCTTTCTGTAACTCTGCCTTTCAAATACATAAGTAAAGATTTATTTTATTTATTTGAAAGGCAGAGTTACAGAGAGAGACACACAGAGATGTCTTCCATCCACCAGTTTACCCCCAAAATGGCTGTTGCAACAGCTGGGGCTGGGCCAGGCTGAAGCTAAGAGCCTGGAACTCCACCCAGGTCTCCCACGTGGGCGGCAGGGGCCCACACGCTGGCCCCGGCACCTGCTGCCTCTCAGGAGCGCTACCAGGGAGCCGGATCTGAAGCGGGCGGCTGGTCCACGCCGGCGGCTCGGGCAGCACCCTGCCGCGGTGCTGGAGCCGACCCTAGAGTCTCTGGGTCCCTAGAGTTGTGGCTCCGTGTTCCCATCCCCGGGCCCAGCCTCTGGGCGGGAGGGTCCAGCACCCGCCATGGACATCCGCCAGAGCCTGGGCCAGGTGTGGAGAGCGCAGAGGGTGACCCACAGGGCCGGGGCCGGCAGAGCTGACCGTCGTCCGTCAGGAGAGCTCCGAGCCCAGGTGCGAGCCGTCTTCCATGTGGGCCAGGGTCCTGAGGCCGGCCGCACGCTGTGCCCACGCAGGCCCGCGCGTGCAGGAGGGGTACCTGGAGGCGCAGGCGCTGGACATCCGAGATCCCAGCGCCTGACCAGCACCCAGACCGGGGCGGGCAGGGAGGCTGTGCGTGCAGTGACGCCGAGCGCCCACGCGGGGGCGCGCTGCCGCGGGACGTGTCCGCGCGTGCGCCGAGCCGCGAACTCGGCGTCCCATGTGGCCCCGCGGCCGCGCGCGCGCAGGCGCAGCCGCCCTCGGCGTCCTCTGCAGCGGGCGTCCTCGGCCGCGGGTCGCGCGTTGCGCGGGAGCCTGCCGCCGCCATGCCGGACAGCTGGGACAAGGACGTGTACCCTGAGCCCCCGCGCCGCACGCCGGCGCCCTCGCCGCAGACCTCCCTGCCCAACCCCATCACCTACTTGACGAAGGCCTTCGACCTCCTCGTGGACCGGCCGGTGACCCTCGTGAGAGGTACCGGGCCTGGGCGCGCCCTGACGCCCCCGGAGACCCCCGGCCCTCACGGCGCCCCCGGGACCCCCGCCGCCGCCGCGCCGCCGGCTTCCGGTCTCCCTGGACCTGAGCGAGCGTCAGAGGCGGAGCCCCTGGCGCGCTGGACGCGGCGGACCCCGGGCTCCGGCCGGAGGGTCCCGGGCCAGCCCTTGGCCCTAGAGCAGAGGCTCCTGGGGGGCCTGGCCTGCCCGAGGTTCGCTGCTTGGGGCGACGTCTGCGGCCCAGCTCAGCCCGCGAGCAGATGGCAGACCTAGCGTCGCCGTCGTGGGAGCAGAGAGTGTGGTCTGTGTGTGCGGAGCGGGGTGTGTGTGTGAGGAGTGGGGTGTGTGTGTGTGTGAGGAGCGGGTGTGTGCGTCTGTACGTGCAGGTGTGTGTGCCCATCTGCGTGCAGGAGCGGGGTGTGTGTGTGTGTGTGTGTGTGTGAGGAGCAGGGTGTGTGTGTGTGTGCGGAGCGGGTGTGTGTGTGAGTGAGGAGGGGTGTGTGTGTGAGTGAGGAGGGGTGTGTGTGAGGAGCGGGGTGTGTGTGTGAGTGGGGTGTGTGTGAGGAGCGGGGTGTGTGTGTGAGGAGTGGGGGGTGTGCGTCTGTACGTGCAGGTGTGTGTGCCCATCTGCGTGCAGGAGCGGGGTGTGTGTGTGTGTGTGTGTGAGGAGCAGGGTGTGTGTGTGTGTGAGGAGCGGGTGTGTGCGTCTGTACGTGCAGCTGTGTCTGTGCCCATCTGCGTGCAGGAGCGGGGTGCGTGTGTGTGTGAGGAGGGGTGTGTCTGTGTGTGAGGAGCGGGCTGTGTGCGTTTGTACATGCAGGTGTGTGTGCCCATCTGCGTGCAGGAGCGGGGTGTGTGTGTGTGTGTGTGTGTGTGTGAGGAGGAGGGTGTGTGTGCGTGTGTATATGAGGAGCGGGGGCGTGTCTATATGCAGGAGTGGGCTCTGTGTGCATGTATATATATCTATGAGCGGGGGCGTGTGCCCGCCTGTCGGGGTGCAGGAGCAGCACTGCCAAGCTGCTGGTTACTTGACCAGTGGGGTGCGGCTGAGGCCCAGGACTGAGACCCTTTAGTGCCTCTGTGCTGGCGGGGAGTCCCAGAGCACTGGGCGGGCGAGCAGGGCCGGGCCCTTGCCAGGATGGGCCCGTCATGGGGGCCAAGCGCCGGTGCGGGCAGGCTGTGGTGAGCGTGGGGCTCTCTCTGCAGAGTTCATAGAGCAGCAGCACGCCAAGAACCGCCACTACTACTACCACCGGCAGTACCGCCGCGTGCCCGACATCACCGAGTGCGAGGAGGGCGACATCACGTGCATATTCGAGGCCGAGATGCAGTGGAGGAGGGACTAGTGCGTGAGCGGCAGCCCTGGGCGCGGGAGGGCGGGCCCTGCCGCCGGCACAGGGAGGACGCTCGGCCCCTTGTGTTGTGTTTCAGCAAAGTGGACCAGGAGATCCTGAACATCGTCCAGGAGCGGCTCAAGGCCTGCCAGCAGCGCGAGGGGGAGAGCTACAAGCAGAACTGCGCCAAGGAGCTGGAGCAGTTCACCCAGGTGGCCAAGGCCTACCAGGACCGCTGTGAGTGCCCGCGGGGTCCGCTCGGGTCCCCTGGCCAGGACCCACCCTGCCCCCTCCTGACACCCCCTTTCCTTGCAGATCACGACCTGGGGGCCCATTACTCTGCCAGGAAGTGTCTGGCCAAGCAGAAGCAGAGGATGCTGGAGGAGAGGAGAGCCGCCCAGGAAACAGCGGCTGCCTGAGGCCGCCCTCGCGCCCGCCCGGGAATCAAATAAACGGACCGAACCCTGAGCTTGCAGTGTCGTTCATGCCCCCCCACCGCGCGTCAGTACAGGCACACACAAACACATGCAGGCTCCGTCCACTTTATTTCTCTCGTGTAAAAACCTATGTTGTGGCCACAGCTGGAGCCTGGGTCCTCTGCACGGACACCCTGGTGTGCGTCTTCACAAGGTGGTCGGTGAACTCCTGGAGAGAGACAGCCCGCTTGTAACCAGGCCCTCGCCCCGCCCCGCCCCCCCGCCGGTGCCCCCAGTGGGCTGTACCTGGTAGGGAGACTTGGTGAACACGGTCTCTTTCCAGAGGTCGGGGGTCAGGTAGCTGTAGGTCTTGGAGATGGCATCGAAGGTGGCTTTGGCTGGGGGACAGAGAACATCACAACTCTGGCTCGGCCCCGCCCCCAGGAGCAGCCCAGCACGGGGGGGGGGGGGGGGGGGGGGGGGAGACACCCACCGAAGTTGCCGAGGGTGGCGGTGCAGCCCCGGGCCGAGGTGTAGCAGTCGTCAATGCCAGCCATCATGAGCAGCTTCTTGGGCACAGGGGCGGAGACGATCCCGGTGCCCCTGGGCGCGGGGATGAGGCGCACCAGCACAGAGCCACAGCGGCCGGTCACCTGGCAGAGGCCGGGCAGGTCAGGACCGCGGCAGCCGCGCCGCGCGGGGGCCCCGCCAGCCCAGCCCCGGCCCACCTTGCACGGCACGGTGTGGGGCTTGCCGATCTTGTTCCCCCAGTAGCCTCGCCGCACGGGCACGATGGACAGCTTGGCCAGGATGATGGCCCCTCGGATGGCGGTGGCCACCTCCTTGGAGCACTTCACGCCCAGGCCGACGTGGCCGTTGTAGTCCCCGATGGCCACAAATGCCTGCGGACAGACCCCGGGTGAGGCGGGCGCGGCGGCGGCGCGCGGCCCGGCGTCAGCCCTCCCCGCTCGCGCCCGCGGCTTGTCGCGCCCCCAAGGGCGGGAGAGGCCACCGGGAGGCCAGCCCCGGGTCCCCAGGGGGTCTTCTCTCTCTCTCCCCATTACGAAGGCCGCACGGGTGAGGCCGCTGCGACCACGCAGAGCTGGGAGAGGCCCCGCCCCGCGGCGCGGCGCCGCACCTTGAAGCGGGTCCGCTGGCCGGCCCGCGTCTGCTTCTGCACCGGCATGATCTTCAGCACCTCGTCCTTGAGGGCGGCGCCCAGGAAGAAGTCGATGATCTCGGACTCCTGCGGACACACGAGACCCGCGCTGCGGGCGCCAGGCCTGGGCCCGGGCCCCGGCCGCCCGCCCTCGCCCGGCCGCCCGCTACCTTGATGGGCAGGGAGAACAGGTAGATCTCCTCCAGGGACTTGATCTTCATGTCCTTAACCAGGCGGCCCAGCTTGGTGACCGGCAGCCACTGGGAGAGCAGGGGCGAGGTGAGGGGCCGCCCGCCCCGCGCCGCCCCAACCGCCCGCCCGCCGCCGGCGCGCACCCACCTCCTTGTCCTCCGCCTTGCCTCCGCGGGCGCCGCGGCCTCGGCCCCGGCCCCGACCCCGGCCGCGCCCGCGGCCTCGGATGCCGCTGCCGAAGCCTCCGCGGAAGCCGCCGCGGCCTCCCATTCCAGGGCCCCCGGGGCCTCCGGGCCCTCCTGCTGCACCGGCGTCATCCGCCATTTGCTGCGAGAAACGAGAAAACCCGGCAGTCAGGCGGGGCTGAGGCCGGGAAGGGGTCGCCCGGCACGCAGCGCAGGCGCAGGCGGCCGATGTCCGCCGATTCCCGCGCCCTCCTCGCGGGCCGCCGCCGCCAGGGCCTCACTCACGTGTTCTCTCGGAGAAGAAGAAGGAGCAGGATATCCGGGAGGCAGCTTTTATACCGCTCAAGCACCGCGAGATCTTCGCTGCCCTTGTTCCCGCCCCTCGGCCCCGGGCGGCCTGGGATTGGCTCCTCCGTGCCCAGCCCCCGGCGCAATGTGCGTGCGCCTGCGCGTTGCCGCCGAGCGCGGCCCGGGAATCTGAGTGGCGGGAAGAGCGCTATAAACGCGCGCGCCGCGGCCGGCCGCCTCTCTCGGGACTCCCGGGCGTGAGCTGGGCGCTGTCCCCTCGAGGTGGGTCCGGTGGGGGTCGGTGGTCCGGGAGGACGGCGCCGCTTGAAAATCGCCCCGGCCGTGGCCGTGGCCGCGGGTGAGATTCGGCGCCCACAGCCAGCGGGGCCTCCGCTCGCCGCCCACGGCTTCGGTGTGAGGCGGCGAAACCCAGGCCCCGACAGGCGCCGCGCGGCCGCTGGCCTGGCCGGCCGCTGACCGTGCCCTGTCCGCCCCCCGCAGGACGCCGGCGGAGGACCCTGTGCCGATGGCGACGACAGCGGAGACCCGCGGGGCCCGGGCGGGCCGCGAACGCCTCGGGCCGGGGTCTGCGGCGGAGACGGGAGCGAGCTGAGAGGCCTCCACGCGCCGGTTCCCTCCCCGGGTGGGTCTCCCACGCGGGGGTAGGCGCCGGCGCTGTGGCCTGAGGCGCTGGCTCCCACATGGGCGCCGGTTCGAGTCCCGGCCGCCCCACTCCCCATGCAGCTCCGCTGTGGCCTGGGCAAGCAGCGGAAGGTGGCCCGAGCCCCCGGGCCCCTGCCCCCGCGTGGGAGGCCCGGGAGAAGCTCCTGGCTCCGGATGCACGCGGCGAGGGAGGCCCTCTCACTCCGCCTCCGACCTGGACAGACCTGGGGCAGAGAGGGGGCCCGCTGCAGTGTGGAGGCGGTGGCCGGGGGCAGGGACAGTGGCTGTGGATGCAGCGGGGTCTCCGCGGTCCGCGCTGGACCTTGCCAGGGTGCGTAGAAGCGCCCTCACCAGGCGGCCGTCTCCCGAGGTGAGAGTTCGTGGGGTCTTCCAGATGCTACGTGCAGATGGCCCTTGGTACGGAACAGGTTTTTCCACGCAGTCTCAAATAAAGCCGTTCAACCTGTGTCCTGCGTGTTCTTGTGGCGCGTCATGGCGTCGTGCAGCCCCACCCCTGGGGGCAAGGAGGAGGCCTCGGGTGCCAGGGACCCTGGCCTGTCCGTCCGGGACCTCCCCTGGGCTGGTGTGAGCTAGGATGGGAACGTGAGGTCACGGCCCAGGGGCTCCTGTCCGGGGACAGCTCAGCACCCCAGGGTCTGGCCCGGAGAGACGTGCTAACTGCCAGGCTGCGGGTCTACCTCTACCCACGTGACTGGCACCGGCTGGGGGGGCGGCCTGTGGTGCCAGCACCAGTGGAGTCCCAGCCGCCCTGCTTCCTGTCTGGCCCCTGCTAATGCACCTGGGAACGCGGCCAGTGCCCCAGGACTTGGGCCCTGCCATCCACGTGGGAGACCATCTTAAAGGTTTAGGAGAGACCCCACGGGGGCTGGGGGGAGGGGAAGGCTCTGCTTCCCAGGGCACCGGCTGCGGCCCACCCCCACACAGGAGGCTGCACAGACCCGTCCCGGATGGCACAGGGGCTCTGATTGGCCTGAGCTGGACAATGCCACTGTGATGTCAGCAGACAGCAGCTGTGAAATACCTGCTCCCAGGCCCCGGGGGTCAGTGGAGCTGCCGTCCAGACACCAGTCATGGTAAGCCCAGCGCAGCTTAGCCGTGCAGGGGTAGGCCCCACTGCACTCGGGGTGCCTGGTGGGTTCCAGGCCCTCAGAGCAAAGGGAACCACAGAAAACTGGCTTGAACTCTGGGCCAGCTGCCCCCTTAAAGTCGGTTCCCCCAGGCCTTCTGCGGGGCTCTGTGAGGCCGCCCTCCCTGTCGGAAGCTTGCTGGTCTCCCCCTGGGGTGTGGGGTGGGGGATCCGATCCCGGTCCCAGCCGGCCCGGTTTTGCAGAGTGGCGGGTATGACCTCAACCTCTTCGCCAGCACTCCTGACTGCAGCTTCCTGTGCTCCGTCTGCCACGGAGTTCTTAAGAGGCCGGTGAGGTTGCCGTGCAGCCACATCTTCTGTAAGAAGTGCATCCTCCGGTGGCTAACCAGGTGCCACGGGTCCCTGGGGCTGGGGGGCAGGGTGGCCCGGAACCGGAGCTCACAGGCCCAACGGGCTGCGTTGCTCCTGCGCCCTGTAAGGTCCGCAGCCCCCGGCCCAGCCCTGTGATACCTGCTCCGGGGCTGGGGAGCGACCGCCGGAGGCCCCCGGCCCTTCCTAGCCACAGCTCACACGGCTGTGCCTCCGCCCCTTGCAGACAAAAGACCTGTCCGTGCTGCAGGAAGGAGGTGAAAAGGAAAAAGATGGTCCACGTGAATAAACTCCGCAGAGCCATAGGCCGCCTGCAGGTCAAGGTAGCCCACCCACCCTGCCGCGGGGAGGCACAGGCCAGGAGAGCCCCACCCTCGAAGGAGCCGGCGTGGCCCTGGGGGCATCAGACCCGGCTCCCTGTGTGGCGCCGGGCAAGTGCCCCAGCCTGTCTGAGCCCTTGTGTCCTCTGCTGCACCTGGTGCGCTGGCCATTACTCCCCAGCCCCCCGACTTTTACAGATGAGGGACAGCAAGCTCACTCACAGATGTCCCCGCTCCCCCTTCTCCGGGCCCTGGGATTCACCTGCCTGGCTTCCCACCACCACCTCAGTGAAGTCACAAAAGCTTGGGAGGCGGTGGGGGCCCTGGCCGGCAGGGCCCCACCTCACAGGGCGCTCTCCCTGCCCGCAGTGCAAGAACGCGGAGGCTGGCTGCCTGGTCACCTGCCCCCTGGCCCATCGCAGGGGGCACCAGGACTCATGCCCGTTTGAGCTGACGGCCTGCCCCAGGGAGGGCTGCGCCGCACGGGTGCCGCGTGGGGCCCTGGCTGAACACCAGCGGCACTGCCAGCAGAGCTCCCATCATCTCTGCCCCCTGGGCTGCGGGGCCACCCTGGGCCCGGCCGAGCGTGCCGGACACAACTGCTACCGGGAGCTGCGGGACGCCTGGAGCGAGCGCCAGGAGCGCAGCCGGACCCTGCTGCTGTGCCTGCTGCAGCGCGTGCGCCAGGTGCACCGCACCACCAACCTCATCCGCCGGCAGCTGGCCCAGCTGGGCAACTTCCTGGAGGAGGACGAGGCCCTGCTGGCCGGCACCCCGCAGGAGGCTGCGGCCACCCCGGAAGGCAGTGGGGGCGCGGGGCTGTGGAGGGCCCAGGGCCAAAGTGCCTTATAAACAGAGGGGTAAATAAACGTGGCGCCCAGGCCTGGCCCACCACACGGCCTCGTGACTCATCCCCCGCCCCGTCCCCTAGCCGAGCTCCGGGCACTCCGTCCCTCCTCCCTTGGTCCTCAAGTCCTCTGCCACCCGGGGTCTTGTGCGGGCAGGCCCCCTCACTGTCCTTGCAGAGGGGTGCCCGGGTCAGCCTCTCCCAGCCTCCTTCCTGAGTGGCCAGCCTCACAGCCCGGAGCAAGATGGCTGCTCACAACAGCACCCGGGCGGGCGGCCACTCCGCCCCGGCACCAGAGGTCTGTCTCCCACAGCCACCCCCGCCCTGGCACCAGAGGTCTGTCTCCTGCAGCCAGCGTGCCCCGGCAGGAGAGGTCTGTCTCGGTGCCATTTTCCGAGGCACTCTAGTGTTTTCCTCCCCTCCTGAGCCCCACGGGCGTCTGTGGACCTCCTGAGCACCAGACACCCCAGCCCCCGCCGGCGCGGGCTGGGCAGGGCCAGAAGCAGGGTTCAAGGTAGCCACAGGGGCCGTCCGTGACGCCTCCTCTAGCACCCCAGGTAAAGCTGCATCTTGGGGCCGCCGCCTACAGTGCCATCATCCCATATGGGCGCCGGTTCAACTCCCAGCTGCTCCACTTCCGATCCAGCTCTGCTGTGCCCTGGGAAAGCAGGAGAGGATGCCCAAGTACTTGGGCCGCTGCACCTGCATGGGAGACCTGAAGAAGCTCCTGGCTCAGCTCCAGCCATTGTGGCCAATTGGGGAGTGAACCAGCGGGTGGAAGACACCCCCCCCCCCCCCGCCTTTCCTTCTCTCTCTGTAACTCTTTCAAATAAATAAATATTTTAAAAAGCCCTGCATTTCCTGGGTGCTGCCTTGTGGTGCAGTGGGCTAAGCTGCTGCCGCCGGTGATACCCCACATGGGCATGGGTAGAGCTCAGGATTCTGACCCAGCTCCCCGCTGATGCACCTGGAAAGCAGCTGAGGGGGGCTGGAGTGCATGGGCCCCCGCATCCTGTGGGAGACCCAGAAGAAGCTCCTGGCTCCTGGCTTTGGCCTGGCCCAGCCATTTGGAGAATGAACTAGCAGATGGAAGATATCACTTGCTCTCTCTCCTTCTCTCTACACTGCCTTTCAAGTAAATAAAATCCTGAATAAAAAGCAAAACAAAGCGGTACCTCCTGGGCCTGCGTTTGGCCTAATGACGCCTCTGTCCCACATGGGAGTATCCGGCTTCATAGCCGGTCTGACTCCAGCTTCCTGCTAATGTGCGCACTGGGAGGCAGCAGAGGATGGCCCGAGGACTTGGCTGCCTGCCACCTCTGTAGGAGACTCGGATGGGGCTCCTGGCTGCTGGCTTCGGCCTGGCCCAGCCCTGGCTGCTGTGGGCATTTGGGGAGTGAACCAGCAGATGCAAGGTCTCTGTCTCTCCTTCACTATGTCACTCTGCCTTTCCAATGAACCCAATAAATAATTTAAAAAAATAGACCAAGGGACTGGCGTTGCGGCACAGTGGGGAAAGCCACCACCTGTGATGCCAGCATCCCATACAGGCACTGGTTCATGTCCCGGCTGCTCCACTTCCAGTCCAGCTCCCTGCTGACGTGCCTGGGAAAAGCAGTGGAAGATGGCCCAAGCGCGTGGATCCCAGCTACCCATGTGGGAGACCCCGTAGGAGCTCCTGCCCCTTGGGGAAGGAACAAGCGGATAGAAGATCTCCATTTCTCTGTCTTTGTAACTCTGGGTTGCAAGTAAATTAAACACTCAAAAAATTAAAAATCCAAAAAAATATAAAATAAAAATAATATAGAATATAACGCCAGTCTAAACCCAGCGCCAGGGCAGCACCCAGGGAACTCAAAATCCCCACCCCTCCAGGCTGGACACGCCCCCTCCAGCTTCCGCCTCCCGGCGCAGCCGCCGCTGCCCACAGCAAAGATGGCGCCAAGCGCGCTGTGCCCACAAGCCGCCGAGGTCGCGGGTGGTGACGCCATCACCGAGCGCCGCGAGTGCGGCTTCCTCGCCAGTCTCTCACGCGGCGGCGGCGTATCCCGGCAGGAGCGATGGAGGAGCCCGCGGCCGCAGTAGCTCGCTTCAAGGCCAAGTGAGTCCGCGTGGGCGCCTCCCGGGGAGCGGGCTGGGATCGCTGCGGGAGACTCCCGGGGCCCGGCGCAGCGCCGCCATGGCGCCCTGGGGTCTGGGGCGCGGGGTCGTGGCTGAAGCTGCGGGCGGGATGGCGCCTGAGCCCCCGTGAGGCAGGCGCCGGGGTCCAGGAAGAGGAGCCCCTCGGCGGCTGGCCTGGGGTGCGGGCGGCGCGGGGGAAGGCGGGCAGGGGAGGGGGCGACGCGGTCGGCTCCGTCCCGGGCGGTCGCCGGGCTGAGTCCCAGAGCTGCTGTCCAGAGGAGACTGCGGCCGAGGGCCCGGCGGCCGGCCTGGAACTGACCGCTGCAGGAGGCTGGGAGGACGCCGGGGCCGGGCTCCGGGGTGTGGAGGATGGGGCTCCGGGCCCAGCAGGGGCCCCCAAGGACCCTGGTTGGAAGCAGCTGTGGGACCGCGGTGAATGTGGGGCAGCCCTGGCGGACGCCGGGAGCCAGGAGCTCCACCCGGCCTCGCGCATGGGTGCAGGGGCCCGAGCGTTCGAGCCGTCACTGCTTTCCCGGGCGGCGTCTTGGGGAGCTGGATCCGAGGGAGCAGCCACGACCTGAATCAGTGCTCGGACCGAGGCCAGCGCTGGCCACCAGCTCAGGTCTGGAAAGTCTGAGTTACAGAGGCAGGGGGAGAAGGAGATCTCCCATCTGCTGGGCCAGGCTGCAGCCGGGGCCCACACGCTTGGGCCATCTTCCGCCGCTTGTCCCAGGCCGTTAGCAGAGCGCTGGTTTGGAAATGGAGCAGCCGGGGCATGAACCGGCGCCGAAGACGGAGGCTTTCCCCACCAAGGGCCTCTGTGCCGGGGTAGCAGCCACACCCGGCACTCCTGGCTTTTTCTGGTTCCCCGGGAACTCCTCCAGGGCAGGGGCCTGTCGGCTTCACCCCTGGGCGTGCACCCAGCACAGGGCAGGGCGTGACCCGGGCGGTGACCCCTTGCTCCCTCCCCTCTCTCCCCAGCTACGCTGTCGAGCACAAGATTGAGCCGTTTTACAAGGGCGGGAAAGCACAGGTACCACCGGGAGGGGCACTCAGGGGAGGGGCACGCAGGGCTGGGGCGGGAAAGTACAGGTACCACCAGGAGGGGCACACAGGGCTGGGGCGGGAAGCACAGGTACCACCAGGAGGGGCACACAGGGCTGGGGCACGCAGGGGAGGGGCGGGAAGCACAGGTACCACCAGGAGGGGCACACAGGGCTGGGGCGGGAAAGTACAGGTACCACCAGGAGGGGCACGCAGGGGAGGGGCGGGAAAGTACAGGTACCACCAGGAGGGGCACGCAGGGCTGGGGCGGGAAAGTACAGGTACCACCAGGAGGGGCACGCAGGGCTGGGGGCGGGAAAGTACAGGTACCACCAGGAGGGGCACGCAGGGCTGGGGCGGGAAAGTACAGGTACCACCAGGAGGGGCACGCAGGGCTGGGGCGGGAAGCACAGGTACCACCAGGAGGGGCACGCAGGGGAGGGGCACGCAGGGCTGGGGCGGGAAGCACAGGTCCCACCGGGAGGGGCACGCAGGGCTGGGGCGGGAAGCACAGGTCCCACCGGGAGGGGCACGCAGGGCTGGGGTGGGAAGCACAGGTACCCCTGGGAGGGGCACGCAGGGCTGGGGCTGGGCCGGCTGCTGTGTGTTGGCATTAAGGAAGCTCTGTGTTCCAGCTGGACCAGGCCGGCCGGCACCTCGTCTGTGTCTGCGGCAGCAGGGTCAATGTCCTAGACGTGGCCTCGGGAGCGGTGCTGCGGAGCCTGGAGCAGGTGAGGGCTGGCGGGGCGAACGGCCCGCTCCATGGCCCTCGGGGGACCTTGTGGTGCCCTGGGGCGTGGGGGCGGCGAGAAGGGCAGCCCAGCCTCACGGCTCTCCCCGTGCCCCTAGGAGGACCAAGAGGACATCACTGCCTTCGACCTGAGCCCCGACGATGAGGTGGGCAGGCAGGGCCGGGCGGGGGCGAGCCCCAGTGCCTCCCGCCTGCACTTGGACCCATGAGGGTGCCTCACTCTCCCCCAGGTACTGGTGACGGCCAGCCGGGCGCTGCTGCTGGCCCAGTGGGCCTGGCGAGAGGGCACGGTCACCCGCCTGTGGAAGGCGGTACACACGGCTCCTGTGGCTGCCATGGCCTTTGACCCCACCTCCACCCTGCTCGCCACAGGTAGGGCCGCAGCTGGGCCAGGGGCCAGTGGGCACGGGGCAGGGGCTGTGGGCGCATGGGCCCCATCACCGCAGACACGTTCCCACAGGTGGCTGCGACGGCGCGGTGCGTGTCTGGGACATCGTGCGGCACTACGGGACACACCACTTCCGGGGCTCCCCCGGGGTCGTGCAGTGAGTGGGCGCCGCGGCGGGCAGGCGGGCAGAGGCCCCGGGCTCCGGGTAACACTGCTCACCTGTCCCCACCCGCACCCCGGCCTGCAGCTTGGTGGCCTTCCACCCGGACTCTGCCCGCCTGCTCCTCTTCTCCTCGGCTGCGGACGCCGCCGTCCGCGTGTGGTCCCTGCAGGACCGGGCGTGCCTGGCCGTGCTGGCTGCCCACTACAGCACCGTCACCTCGCTGGCCTTCAGCACGGACGGCCACAGCATGCTCAGGTCAGCAGCAGGACTGGGAGGCCCGGGTGGGGGGAGCCGGGCGGGGGGAGCCGGGACTGAGGCGGCCGTCTCCCTAGCTCTGGCCGCGACAAGATCTGCGTCCTCTGGGACCTCCGGAAGCTTCAGGTCACGAAGACAGTGCCGGTGTTTGAGGTGGGGCGCCTGCGGGGGGCTGGGGAGGGGGCCGGGCGGGGGGTGCCTGTGCGGGCGGCTGGGGAGGGGGCCGGGCGGGGGGGTGCCTCTGCGGGCAGCTGGGGAGGGGGCCGGGCAGCAGCGGGGGGCGCCCCCTGACAGACTTTGTCCCCAGAGCGTGGAGGCTGCCGTGCTGCTACCAGAGGAGCCGGCGCCAGACCTGGGTGTGACGTCCCCGGGCCTGCACTTCCTGACAGCCGGTGACCAAGGCACGTGGGCCAGGGCTGAGGTTGGGTGGCACAGGGCTGGGGAGGCCCGTGGGCCTGTGGGTCCCAGCAGCCCCGCTCCTCACGCAGGTGCACTGCGTGTGTGGGAGGCAGCTTCCGGGCGGTGTGTGTACACCCAGCCGCGGCCGCCAGGCCCCGGGCGGGAGCTGACGCACTGCGCCCTGGCCCGCGCCGCCGGCCTGCTGCTGAGCGTCACGGCGGACCACAACCTGCTGCTCTACGACGTGCGCTGCCTGCGGCTGCAGAAGCAGGTGAGTGCCCGCCCGCCTGCCCGTCGGGCTGCGGCGTGGGAGCCTGGCCCGGCCTCACTGCTGCCGCCCCCTAGTTCGCTGGGTACAGCGAGGAGGTGCTGGACGTGCGATTCCTCGGGCCTGACGACTCCCACATCGTCGTGGCTTCCAACAGCCCCTGCCTGAAGGTGTTCGAGCTGCAGTCGTCCGCCTGCCAGATCCTCCCCGGCCACACAGGCAAGTGCCGCCCGCTGGCCCTCGAGTGCCCCGCACTGCTGGGACGGCTGCTGACGCACTTCCTGCTCCCCCAGACACCGTCCTGGCCCTGGATGTGTTCCGGAAGGGGAGGCTCTTTGCCAGCTGCGCCAAGGTGAGGCACTTGGAGGGAGAGGTGCGGGGGCACTGGCCCTCCCGGGTGGTGATGCCAAGGCCACAGGCCCCCGGCCCAGCCCTCCCCTCAATCCCCCCCTCCAGGATCAGTACTTGGAGGGAGAGGTGCGGGGGCACTGGCCCTCCCGGGTGGTGATGCCAAGGCCACAGGCCCCCGGCCCAGCCCTCCCCTCAATCCCCCCCTCCAGGATCAGTACTTGGAGGGAGAGGTGCGGGGGCACTGGCCCTCCCGGGTGGTGATGCCAAGGCCGCAGGCCCCCGGCCCAGCCCTCCCCTCAATCCCCCCCTCCAGGATCAGAGCATCCGCATCTGGAGGATGAACAAGGCCGGCCAGGTGGCCTGCGTGGCGCAGGGCTCGGGGCACACGCACAGCGTCGGCGCCATCTGCTGTTCTAGGTAGTGGGCCCGGGCGCGTCCAGGGGTGTCAGCGAGGCGAGGCCTTGGCCTGTCCCCGGGGCCCGGCTCAGGCAGAGGGCGACAGGGAGAGTGATGGCTTTGAGCCCGCTTGTGGCAGCTCTGGCCCAGGCACGTGGGACAGCAGGAGCCGCAAGAGCCTTCAGGCACTTCGGAAGACACAGGGGCTCACCGTCCGGGGCTCACCGTCGGGTGGGGAGGCCACCTCCCTCGGGGCGGGGGTGGGGTCTGCAGGTGTGAGGACACTGGGGGTGGGCAGCACAGGCAGAGGAGCTTGGACCCGGAGGCATCGGGAGTCCCGGCCCAGGGTCTGTGGTGCACGGGGGCCAAGGCTGGCCAGGCCTCAGCAGTCTCCCCTCCCCGTCGGGCTGCAGGCTGAAGGAGTCCTTCCTGGTGACCGGCAGCCAGGACTGCACCGTGAAGCTGTGGCCCCTGCCCAGGCCCCTGCTGTCCAAGAGCACAGCCCCAGACAGCGGCCCTGTCGTCCTCCACGCCCAGACCACGCAGCGCGGCCATGACAAGGTGACTGACGTGGCTGCCAGGGTGGGCTGTGTCCGAGCCCTCGCCGGGTGGGCTGTGTCCAAGCCCTCGCCGGGGTGGGCAGTGTCCGAGCCCTCGCCGGGTGGGCTGTGTCCGAGCCCTCGCCGGGTGGGGTGTGAGTGCTGCCCGCTCTCATCACCAGGACATCAACAGCGTGGCCGTCGCTCCCAATGACAAGCTGATGGCCACAGGCTCACAGGACCGCACGGCCAAGCTCTGGGCCCTGCCACAGTGCCAGCTGCTGGGCGTCTTTGCAGGCCACCGGCGTGGCCTCTGGTGTGTCCAGTTCTCCCCCATGGACCAGGTGCTGGCCACGGCCTCGGCCGACGGCACCATCAAGCTCTGGTCATTGCAGGACTTCAGCTGCCTCAAGGTTAGCAGCGGCTCCCAGGCCCTGTGCAGGCCCCGCCCCGGCCTGCCCCCCCCACTGATGCCTCACCCTCCCCTCACCGCAGACATTCGAGGGGCACGACGCTTCCGTGCTGAAGGTGGCCTTCGTGAGCCGTGGCACACAGCTGCTGTCCAGGTGCGGGGGCTGGAGCAGGCAGGGGTGGCATGAGGCGGTGGGCAGGCCTGGGCACTGACCAGTCCCTGCTGCATCCCAGCGGCTCTGATGGGCTGCTGAAGCTGTGGACCATCAAGAACAACGAGTGCGTGCGGACGCTGGACGCCCACGAGGACAAGGTCTGGGGCCTGCACTGCAGCCGGCTGGACGACCGCGCCCTCACCGGAGCCAGCGACTCCCGCGTCATTCTCTGGAAGGTGGTGGGCCCAAGGGCGGGGCGTGGCGGGAGTGGGGTAGCCTGGGACCCATCTGACCCCAGCTGACTCTAGGATGTGACGGAGGCGGAGCAGGCAGAGGCGCAGGCCAAGCTGGAAGAGCAGGTGGTCAGGTGGGTGCCGGGCAGCAGCACCCCTGCTCGTGGTCAGGGGAGCGGCCTGGAGCAGCCTCAGCCCAGCACCGTCTGACCCTGTTCCCCCCCCACCCCCAGACAGCAGGAGCTGGACAACCTGCTCCATGAGCGGCGGTTCCTGCGGGCGCTGGGCCTTGCCATCTCCCTGGACCGGCCCCATACTGTGCTGACCGTCATCCAGGGTCAGTGCCCGCCCCGGGTGAGCCAGGGGCCAGAGCAGGCGCAGGGGCCCTCCAGGCGCTGACTCCTGTCCCCCCCGCAGCCATCCGGAAGGACCCCGAGGCCTGTGAGAAGCTGGAAGCCACAGTGCTCCGACTGCGGAGAGACCAGAGAGGTCCTGGGCCGACAGGCAGGGCGGGGGCGGGGGCGGGGGCGGTCCGGCAGGCAGGTAGGTGACCGGCCCTGTCGCCCACAGAGGCCCTGCTGCGATTCTGCGTCACGTGGAACACCAACTCCCGGCACTGCCACGAGGCGCAGGCCGTGCTGGGCGTGCTGCTGCGGCACGAGGCCCCCGAGGAGCTGCTGGCCTACGACGGCGTGCGGGCCGCGCTGGAGGCCCTGCTGCCCTACACAGGTGCTGAGCGCGGCCGGGGCGGGCCGGGGCGGGCCGGGGCAGGGTGGGGGCGGGCGAGAGGCACGGACCCCTCGACGCTCTCTGTCCTCCCCAGAGCGCCATTTCCAGCGGCTCAGCCGGACGCTGCAGGCGGCCACCTTCCTGGATTTCCTGTGGCACAACATGAAGCTGCCCACCCTCCCTGCTGCCCCCCCAGCCCTCTCGAATACATAGAGCTGGCGTGTCCATCTGGCCGTGTGTCTGGGCCCGCCTCCCCCAGGTCCCACAGGCCCTGCCCGGGGCACAACACAGGGCTTAGAGGAGGAGGCGCTGTATTTTGAGGGAACGGGGAATCACAGCTTCCTGGCTCTGCCAGCTAGGGGGCCCCCCACCCCTCCGCCAGCTCCCGGCCCCACTCAAGGGGCTCCCTGGCAGCCCAGGGCCCTGCGGGTGATGGTGCAGCAGCGGCTCTGGATGGCGCTCAGCCGTGGTCGGGTGGGCACCGCAGGCGGAGTGGCCCAGGCCTTGGGGGGTGCCGGGGAGCCGCGGGCCTCTGCTGTGTCCTCCCCGCCGTGGAGCCCGGGCCCACTCAGGAGCGCGCCCAGCCCTTCCTGCTGCAGCAACACCGCGGGCAAAAGACCTGTCTGGCCGGCATACCTGTGAGGGAGGCGGAGCCTGGTCAGGAGTTGGCCCGCCCCGCAGCAGGCTAGGCCAGGCCGAAGCCCCACCCCACGCACCTGCACAGCCACCAGCCGCGGTCCGACTTCTCCAGCACGCACACACGCGCCCCTGCAGGCACTGTCAGCTCATCCGCGCGGCTGCCCTCGAAGGCACGGGCAGCGTAGAACTGGGGCCCTGGCGGTGGGCATTGGGGTCAGTGCTAGGCCACAGAGACGCCCGCCTTTCCCGTTGCCCCTCTGTTCAGGGCCCCGTGAAGCCTGAGCACACGCCCCCAGACCCTCCAGCGCCCCTTGCCGCCTGCGCTTCCCCTGGCCCTCCCTTGCCCCTCACTGCCCAGCTAGGAGAGGAGGGTCAGAATCCTACCAGGGGCCAGCGCTGTGGTGCAGCGGGTTAATGCCCTGGCCTGCAGCACCGGCATCCCATATGGGCGCCGGTTCGAGACCCGGCTGCTCTACTTCCTGTCCAGCTCTCTGCTGTGGCCTGGGAAAGCAGTGGAAGATGGCCCAAGTGCTTGGGCCCCTGCACCCACATGGGGGACCCAGAGGAAGCTCCTGGCTCCTGGCTTTGGATCAGCACAGCTCTGGCCATTGCTGCCAATTGGAGAGTGAACCATCGGATGGAAGACTCACTCTCCCTCCCTCCCTCCCCCCCCCCCCCCCCCCCCCCCCCGTGTAACTGACTTTCAAGTAAAATAAATAAATCTTTTTTAAAAAAATCCTACCAGTGCTCCCCAGGGACAGGGCCCCCTCCTGGCCCGGGCTCAGGGCCACCTCTTCCAGGTAGGGAGCTGGAAACCAGGCTGTTTGCTGGTCCTCATTCGCCACCAGCCACCAGCCTGTGAACAAGAGGCAGGAGGGCGTCAGATCTCGGCCCACCGGGGTCCAGGGCAGCAAGGCCAGCGCCCTGACTGCTGGGGCCACTACCTGAGGGGTGTCGCAGCAGCACGTCCAGGCTGTCCTGGGCCCGCGCCTGGAAGGGCCTGCCCCGGGTGTCCTGGGTGTGGAAGGGCTGCAGGCAGTGCAGCCGCTGAACCTCCAGGCTGTGGATGGCAAGGCTGCCTGCGGGACGCGGCCTGGGCTCCTCGGGGGCCGGCAGGATCACCAGGCTGGCAAGGAGGGAGCCGGTGAGGGGGTGGGGACGGGCCCGCCACGCCCACAAGCCCACCGGTGGCTCCTCTTCCTCCACTAAGCCTCCCCCAGCGTCCGTAGGCCTCAGGGAGTTGGGTCCAGCACCTGCCAGGCGGCAACGAGGGCTCCAGGTCCAGGGGTTGTGGCGCAAAGAAGCCGGTGAGCGCTGGGCTCTGTGACACCCGCTCTGCGGCCGCCAGCAGCGTCCGGGTGTAGGTCTCCAGCAGCCGGAGGCGCGCCAGCCCGCGGCCAGTGCGTCCCCCTCTTGCTAACAGCGGTGCATCTGCAGGCACCAAGAGGATGCACTGTGGGGCCCACCCCAGGTCTTCCTGGCCCAAAAGCCTTTCCCCGCCCCACCCAGGACCCCAGGCCTGACCAGGAAGCTTGGGGAGAACACGGTCGCACTTCCGAAGCAGGCCCGCCTCCACCGGGAAGGTCTCCCTGAGGGTCTTCTGAGGACGAGAAGCGGGGTGTCTGTCCAGCTGCCCGGCCTCCAGGCAGGGCGTGGACCCCTCCCCAGGGTGACAGGGACGGGAAATCCAGGTGGAGGGTGAGGGAGGGAGACCCCATCAGGGTCGCTCACCTGGAGCCGCCTGAATTCATCCCAGCTCCTGCGCACCAAAGTGTCGCTGCCATCTGACCAGCGCACGGAGAAGGCAAACGTCTACGGGGGGTGGGGGGTGGTAGGGGGAGGTTGGGTGTGCCTGGGGCCCGGGCCAGGGGCATCCACTTACAAAGCCCTCGGGCTGGTAGGGGCGGGTCATACCTGGAGCCGCTCCATCTGCACCAAGGCTGCTGCGCGCACTGACACCGGGTGCCGGGGGACTGCCATGCCCGTGGCCGGCACGACTCAGGATGCTGGGGCAGGCAGGCAGCGGCTGAGGCTTCTGCGCTGCCAGCCGGAAGACTGGCCGAGTGGAATTCCCCGCGGACGCCCCAAGCCAAGTCCCCGGGAAGCCGCCCCGCCCCTGGGCCTTCTTCCGCGACCTGCAGGAGCCCGGCTGCGCAGGGCCAGGGGCCAGAGGCAGAGCTGGTGGAGAGAGGATGAGTCGCCCACCTGGAAGGGCCAGGCTGGGACTGCACCCGCCCAGGGCCCTCCCGAGTCTGGCCTTGGGCAGGGGGAGGAGAAGGAAGGGCTGTCTGAGGCCCACCTATCTGGGCTCACACACCCTGGGTAACCCTCCCCAGGGTGTGCCAACAGCTCCGGCTGTGAACTCACTGGCTGGACTCGGCAATTGCCGTCCAGAACCAATCGTTCAGTGCAACAGGGCTCTGGTGCTCCCTCTGGCTTAATCCTGGTGCCGAAGGAAGGACTTTGTGCCACCAAGTCGGAGCAGGAAGGTTGTGCTAAGTGAATACTCATGGGCTCACCCCAGGGGTTCACCCACAGTGGGGAGGCTGCATCTCCACAGTCCCTGTGGCCAGTGGCACTTGGGGGTGGTCACTGGGAATTCATGGTCTGTCACAGCTTCCGGCAAACCCACCTCTGGCATCAGGAGTGACCCCTTGCCCCTTCAGCCAGGGTCGGGGAGGGAGGCCCTGCACTGGCTGGACAGGGGGCTCACCCAGGGGCCCTACCTCTCTAGGCTGCGGCTTCCTTGTCCAAGCCACATCTAACCCTTGTGCCAGGTGCTTGTTCCTGGTGCCGTGTCAAGGTTGCCCCCCACCCCCCCAGGCCTCCAGGAAGCTGCCCTGCCTCAACAAAGATCCTTTGTGTGTCTGTCCCACCGGTTGCTCTCTAAAGCTGTCTGACCTTGCCGGTGCCAGCCCAGGCAGCCGAGGGGGCCCCAGGAGAGAAGCTGGAGGGAGGCCAGGTTTAATCAGATGGGGCTGGGAAGGATCCGGAGGCCCCCTGCGCCCACGCTGGCTCCACCCAGCTTCCGCTCTCTGGACCCCTACTCTGTTCCCTCACAGTTCAACTCCAGCCGTCACCCACCCCCATCCCTGGGGGGTTTGCTGGCCCCTGTGAAAGCCACTCTCCACGTCACCGCCAGGGGTAGCTTCACAAAACAGACATGGGATCAGGTCAGGGAGGCTGTGCCGGCCCCTGAAGGGCACCCCTAGTCCCCACCCCGCCCCCGTTCTGTGCTGTCCATGTCCCCCGGCCCTGGGCTCCCAGACCCTCCCTCTCTGCCTGCGGTCACCCGGCCCTGCGTGGGCCCTACCACTGCTTGTAGGAACACTGACAGGTGTGGCTTTGGTTTGTCACTGTGCTGAACACCGCACGGAGTGACGGTCAGGGGCACTTTTGCTTCTTGTCCGGCCCGGTGCCGGGAACAGAGCGCGGCCCGGACATCCACGGAAGGACCGCGGGGAGGCGGGCGCCCCGTTGCCAGGGCGCCGGTCGCCGGGGAGGGACCGCGGCCCCGGGGTCCCAGGGAACGCTCTGTGCGGTCACGCCGGCCCCGCGCCGCACGCGCCGTTGCCAAGGCCCCGGGGGGCCAGCCTCGGGCGCGCCCCCCGCTGCGGGCACAGAGCCCGGCCGCGGGCACGCAGGAAGGTGCCAGCGGAGCGATGGGGGCGTCGCGGGCCGCCACCCGCACTGCGACCCAGCCTCAGCCCGAGTCCGCCGCGCGGCCGCGGCGCACCTTCCACAACACGCTGCTCTTCTACTGGAGGAAGCGCGAGCGCCGCCACGGACGGCGCCCGGCGAGCGCGGCGGGCCGGGGGGCGAGGCCCAGGGGCACCCGCAGCGCCCGGGCCTCCGGCGCCGCCCCCGCGCCGGCCCGGGCCCCCGGCCCGGCCCCCGCCGAGGCCCGGCCCTCCAGCCCCGCCGCGGCCAGCGCCCCGGCCTCCGGCCCCGCCCCGCCCCGGGCCCGGACCCCGGCCGCCGGCCCCGCCTCCGCGCCGGGCCCCGCCCCGGACCCCGGCCCGGCCCCGCCCCCCGCGCCCGCGGCGCGCGCCCCCGGCTCCTGCGGCCGCGCGCTGGCGGCGGCGCGCGCGCTGGCCTGGAGGCCGACCTGGAGGCCCCTCTGGCGGCCGAGCTGGCCCGGCAGGCGCTGCGCGGGCAAGATGGCGGCGCCCGGGGAGCCGGGGCGCTCGTACCGCGGGAGCCTCTTCTCCTTCCTGCCGGGCGGCGCGCGCCCCGAGGTGATGGACGACCTGGCGACGGACGCGCGGGGCCGGGGCGCGGGGCGGAGGGACGCCGCGGGCACTGCCGCCGCAGGCCAGCCGCCGGCCCCGGCCCCGCAGCGCGCCGAGGACGCCGCGCAGAGGCGGCCCTGCCGGGCCTGCGTGGACTTCAAGGCGTGGATGCGAACGCAGCAGAAGGTGCCGGCGCCCGCCCGACCTCCCCGCCCTTGGCTTCCGCGCGCCTCGGCCGCCCCGCTCAGCCGCGCGCGGGCCGGAAGCGCCGCAGGACCTGTGTGCAGAGCTGGGGCGGAGGAAGGGGGTGGCCGGTGGGCCTCCGTGTCGGGGAGCGCTAACTGACCCTTAGTCGGCCTACTTCTGCAGCGGGACACGAAGCTTAGAGAGGATTGTCCACAGGACCGCGAGGAGCTGGGCCGCCACAGCTGGGCGCTGCTGCACACCCTGGCCGCCTACTACCCGGACCTGCCCACCCCGGAGCAGCAGCAGGACATGGCCCAGTTCATCCATTTGTTCTCCAAGTTTTATCCGTGTGAGGAGTGTGCGGAAGACATCAGAAAGAGGTGAGCCGCGCTCGCCCGTGGAGCCGGGGCCCGCACTGCCTGCTGATGTCACAGAGCGGGGCAGAGACCATGGCCGCCCGGGCTCTGCGGCTCGCCCCGGAGGGCCGGCTGCCCTTTGCCCTAGGACTGGGGGCAGGCTAGGGAGAGCTGCACTTTGCCCGACTGTCGATGCTGATTGCTCTTTTTATTATTTGAAACAAACAAACAGAGAGAGACAAGTCTTCCATTTGCTGGTTCACTCTTCATGGCTTCAGCTGCCCGCGCTGGGCCAAGCTGGAGCCAGGAACTTCATCCCAGCCTCCCATGGGGGTGCAGGGGCCCGGGCACTTGGGTCGTTCTCCGCTGCTGTTCCCAGGGAGCTGGAGCAGAAGTGGAGCGCCCAGGACTGGGCCAGCGCCCACGTGGGATGCTGGCGTTGCAGGCCGTGGCCTTGCGCCCTGCCGGCCCCCGATTGCTGGTTTGAAAGCCTGGGAACCCACTGCTTTTCCTCACTGAGATGCCCGGGAGCTGTGTTAGGCATCTCCGGGCCGGACGTGTGGGGGCAGCCACGACTGTTAGAACCAGGCAGCCCTGGCTTGACTGGTTCACCAAGGCCTCCCTGGGGTGCTAAGGAGCGGTCCGCTCTGTGCCGGCTCCGCCCCGGCTGCACCTGCCTGGGGCCAGGGGCACAGGTGAGTGTTCCTGATTTCACGAGACTGTAAAGTGGCTGCCTCGTGCCCCGGTGCCTTGCCCTGGGCTCTGCAGGGTCCACCCTGGGGAACGCCCATCTCCGGACGCAGGAGGACGCCCCCCGGTGCCGCTGGCTGCAGTGCCTCTCTCTCCTCCCGCGGCGAGGCGCCGGCAGGGCCGGGGCCACCTCCCCCTTTTGTGTCGCCCCTACTCAGGATCCACAGGAACCAGCCGGACACCCGCACCCGCGCGTGCCTCAGCCAGTGGCTGTGCCGCCTGCACAACGAGGTGAACCGCAAGCTGGGCAAGCCCGAGTTTGACTGCTCACAAGTGGACGAGCGCTGGCGCGACGGCTGGAGGGACGGCTCCTGCGACTAGAGGGGCGGCCGCGGCAGAGGGGCGGGCCGCTCATTAAAGTGCGTCAGAGCCACAGCTGTCGCGTCTTCGTTGGGTGGTCCCAGGACACTGCCCTTCCGAAAGGAAGCTGCCCCCTGCGGGCACTCCAGCGGCCGGCCTCCTCTTCAGCGGGGGGCCTGGGCAGGGGTGTGCAGGGGAGGGAGGCAGGAAGGAGCGTCTCGTCGTCCAGGATGGCAGCCCGCGAGAGGCCGGGGCTCCCTCTTCCTGCCCCGTGAGGCCCGGCTGTGCCTCTCCCTGAGCAGTGCCGTGGCCCCAGTGGCTCTGTGCCGTTGCCACTTGGGGAGTGAGGCCTGGGCCTGAGTACTCCGTTGGGCCCAGCCCCATGGGGAAGTCTGGGGCGGAGTTTTTCCTGAGGTCGCCCAGCGTGCTGCCACGCCCCGCCTGGCACGGGCCCTCTGAAGGTGTGCCAGGACGGTGCCGGGCTCAGAGACCAGAATAAAGTGCTGGACAAGAGACTTGGACCTGGTTCTGGTGTGCTTTGTGCTCAGCTCTGCCCTCCTGTCTGGGGTCTGACCCCGCAGGGGCATGGAGAGGATGCCCGTGCAGGCGGCCACCGTGTTGCCGTGGCCTGGGTGTTCCAGTAGACAGGGAGGCCGATGGCTGCAGCGGAAGGGTCCGCTCTAACGGGGAGGGAGCGGGGCGTGCAGGGTTCAAGACCCCAGCAGATGTGGCTTTCACTCCCGGCTTCGGCAACAGGCAGCCAAGGTCTGGAGCCAAGGAGTGGCGTGGAGCGATGTGACCCAGGTGGCTGAGGTGGCCCCCAGCAGCACGCAAGGAACATAGACATGCTTATTTATTTAGCGTTTAATGATTTGTTTATTTGAAATGCAGAGTTACAGAGGAAGAGACAGAAATCTTCCATCCACTGGTTCACTTTCCAGGTGGCTGTAACAGCTGGGGGCTAGACCAGGCTGAAGCCAGGAACCTGGAGCTCCATCCGGGTCTCCCACACGGATGCAGGGCCCAAGCACTTGGGCCATCGTCTGCTGCTTTCCCAGGCCATTAGCAGGGAGTTAGACAGGCGCAGAGCAGCCAGGACTCGAACCGGCACTCATGTGGGATGCCGGCATCTCAGGTGGTAGCTTAACCCTCTTATCACAATGCTGGCCCCTCGTTTAAGGTTTATTTATTTGAAAGAGTGACACATGGAGAGACAGTGATCTTCCATCTACTGATTCATTCCCCAAATGACCACAACAGTTGAGCCTGGGGCAGGCCAAAGCCAGGGGCTGGAACTCCATCTGGGCTCCCATGTGAGCCATCATCCACTGCTTCCCGGGAGGTTAGCTGGATCAGAAGTGAGTAGCTGAGGCCGGCACTGTGGCAGAGTGGGTCCCGGCTGCTCGACTTCCAATCCAGCTCTCTGCTGTGGCCTGGGAAGCAGTGGAGGATGGCCCAAGTCCTCGGGCCCCTGCATCTGTGTGGGAGACCCGGAAGCTCCTCACCTGGCTTTGGGTCGGCCTAGCTCCAGCTGTTGTGGCCATTTGGGGAGTGAACCAGCACATGGAAGACTTCTCTTTCTGTCTGTCTCTGCCTTTCAAATAAATTAAAAAAAAAAAAAAAAAATGGAGTAGCTGGGACTCAAACTGGTTCTGTTATGGGATTATGGCATCGCAGGGGGCTGCTGTACCTTAACCTGGCCCTTGATTTATTTTTATCTCTACAAGACAGAGGGGGCTGGCACTGTGGCACAATGGGTTAAGCCACTGCTGTGACACCGGCACAGTGTCAGGGCTGGTTGGAGTCCCGGTTGCTCTGCCAGGCCAGCCTCCTGCTCACGCATCTGGGGAGGGATGATGCTCACGTACTTGCGTCCCCATCACCCCTGTGGAGACCCGGCTGGAGTTCCTGGCCTGTCCCTGCCTGGTGTGGTCACTTGGCGAGTGAACTAGTGTATGAGAGATTGTCTCGATGAAGGTCTGTCAAAGAAATATTTTCAAGAAACGGGGGCCAGCGTTGTGGCATAGTGGGTAAAGCCATCTCCCCGGGCTCTGGTTCGAGTCCCCTGCTCCACTTCTGATCCAGCTCCCTGCTAATGTGCCTGGGAAAGCAGCAGGAGGTGGCACAGGCACTGGGCCCTGCACCTACATGGGAGACTAATGGAAGCGCCTGGCTCCTGGCTTCAGCCTGGCCCAGCTCTGGCCATTGCAGCTATTTGAGGAGTGAACTAGCAGATGAAAGATTGCTCTCTCTCTCTCTCTCTCTCTCTCTCTCTGTCTCCCTCTCTCTAACTCTGCTTTTCAAATAATAAAAAAAAAATCTTATAAAACAGAGACACACACCAGAGAGATCTGTCCCCAGGTTCACTCCCCAAATGCCCATAAGAGCTGAGGCTGGGCCAGGCTGAAGCCAGGAGCCTTGGACTCAACATGGCTTTCTCAGGGGGGTGGCAGGGACCCACGTACTTGAGCCAGCACCTCTGCCTCTCCAGGCTGTGAGCAGGAAGCTGGGTCACGAGTCGGCGCTGGAACCCAGGCCCTGTGTGTGGGATTCAGAAATCCTGCCATGGACAGGTTTCCAGGCAGAGCCAGAGAATTCTCAGGGCAAGAAAGGAACCAAAGGGGGCCGGCGCTGTGGCGCAGTAGGTTAATCCTCCGCCTGCGGCGCTGGCATCCCGTGTGGGCGCCAGTTCTAGTCCCGGCTGTCCTTCCACTCCAGCCCTCTGCTATGGCCTGGGAAAGCAGTGGAAGATGGCCCAAGTGCTTGGGCCCCTGTACTCACATGGGAGATCTGTAAGAAGCTCCTGGCTCCTGGCTTTGGATCGGCGCAGCTCCAGCCGTTGCCGCCATTTGGAGAGTGAACCAACGGAAGGAAGACCTCTCTCTGTCTCTCCCTCTTTCTGTATTTGTAACTCTCACATAAATAAGTAAAATATTTTAAAAAAAGGAACCAAAGAAGTGGGGGTGGGTGGGGTGGGGTTGTACTAGGCCTAGAGAGGGCAGAGGCTCTGAGCGTAGTGCGTCTGGGCCGACCTGAGCCTGGCTACTGGGCCCCCTCTGCTCCACCCAGTTCTGCCTGTTCCTGGGCCTCGGCTCCCACTGGAATAGCCCAGCAAGCCCCGGCCCTGCATTCCTACCGCGCCCCCCTCCCTAAGCTTACAGTGCCGCAGCGCCTCCACGCAGGTGGCCCACGGCCGGCGCTGCTGTCCTCTGCCAGGGGTTGCCCCGAGGGGCCGAGCGGCACAGATGAGACATCTCACCGCCTAGTAAGACTTCACATCACCTTGGGCTCTTCCAGGGATCTAGGAACAGACCCAGGATGAATGGAGGTCTCTGGCCTGAGCTGTCAGCACAGAGACCCAGGGAGAACCCCAGAGCATTGCCCCACAGGTCAGAGGTCAAGCCAAAGGAGGGGGCCCATGGCACCGGGGACACAAGGAGACATGTCTGGGTGGGGGGCTGCTGTGGCAGACTTGTCACTGAACAGCCCTGGGTTTCGGTGGGGCTGTGAGTTGGACCCCAATGAGGGTGGACAACGCGAGTGTGTGGCCTGCGTTTGTGACGCCATCCAGCTCCCTGCTAATGGCCTGGGAAAGGCAGTGGAGGATGGCCCAGGTGCCACCCATGTGGGTGGCTTCAACCTGGCCCAGAGGGGTCAAGAGCCGTGTGTGTGTGTGTTTAAAGGTAAGTCAGAGAGGTCTTCCACCCACTGGTTCTCTCCCCAGATGGCCGCAATAGCCGGGCTGGGCCCAAGCTGGAGGCAGGAGCCAGGAGCGTCTTCCCGGGCTGCCCTCACCCTACCTGGCAGGAACCTGAGGACTTGAGCCATCGCTGCTCCCAGGAAGCTGGAGTCAGACATGGAGCTGACCGGTCGGCGCCGCGGCTCACTAGGCTAATCCTCCGCCTAGCGGCGCCGGCACACCGGGTTCTAGTCCCCCCAGTAGGGGCGCCGGATTCTGTCCCGGTTGCCCCTCTTCCAGGCCAGCTCTCTGCTGTGGCCAGGGAGTGCAGTGGAGGATGGCCCAGGTGCTTGGGTCCTGCACCCCATGGGAGACCAGGAAAAGCACCTGGCTCCTGCCATCGGATCAGCGCGGTGCGCCGGCCGCAGCGCGCCGGCCGCCGCGGCCATTGGAGGGTGAACCAATGGCAAAGGAAGACCTTTCTCTCTGTCTCTCTCTCTCTCACTGTCCACTCTGCCTTTAAAAAAAAAAAAAAAAAAGACATGGAGCTGGGCCTGGGCCCCACACCGACGTGGATGTGGGTGTCTTCACCACTAAGCCAAACACTTGCCCCTGTTTGGGATTTATTTAAAAGGCAGGTGGACAGCGATGTCGTCTGTCCACTGGCTCACTCCTCAACTGCCCACGACAGCTGGGGCGGAGCCAGGCTGAAGCCAGAAGCCAGGAACCCCATCTAGGTCTCCCACACACGTGGGGGGTCACCCGAGCCTCCCAGGCACATTAGCAGGAAGCCGGGCTGTGAAGAGGAGCAGGCGGGGGTCAGCCAGGCATGCCAAGGGGTGGCTGAACCTGCCTCTCACTGTCCGCCCCTCCCCCATTTATCTCTAACAAGGTGCAGCATGTCTGGGTATTAATGCAAATGATCAAGGCTTAGGGGGCTTCAGACGGCCACAGCAGGTTTCCCAGGGCGGGGCGGGGGTCTCTGTCCCTCCACCCACACAGCGGGCACCGCGGGTACTCCATCGAGTTCTACCTCTTCACGTAATGCCTTTACCAAGGCACTCCTGGACGGGGTAAGAGCAGCCCGACCCGCACGTCTGTGAAGTGATGGGCATTCCCGTGGCCACCACACGCAGGCTTCCTACACCCAGCGGCCTGGCCTGGGAAGGACCCCAGGGAAGGGGCCCTGTCACTGGGGCTGGGGTCCGGGCACCGGCCAGCTGGACACCGGCCTGGCCTGTGATGCCGCTCCCCTCCTCGGCTCGGGGAGCAGCCATAAAGCACACGCGAGCCACAGAAGGCCGTGCCCCGTTACCCACAGGGCTGGCTGCCGCAGGCTCTGCCCCCTGGCCGAACGCCCCCGCGGGCGGAGCCCACCTCCCCAGCTTCTGGGGGAGCGGCCGCGGTGCAGGGGGAGTCACGGAAAGGGGCCCCTCTCCGCCCAGCTCCCTGCCTCCGCTCAGGGCATACCCTCGGAGCCCCCTGGGTCTGCCCGGAGACGCGGGGTCGCCCAGGTGAGGGGGGGTGGGCGGGGCCAGAGCACGCGAGCCTTCCGGCCTCTCACGCGCGGACCCTGCGGGGGGCGCTGGCTCGGCCCCGCCCCGCGCGCCCCCGCCGCGGCCGGCGCGCGCTCCCGGGAGGCGGCGGCGGCGGCGGCAGCAGCACCGGTAGCATCGGCAGCAGCCCCCGGCGGCCTCGGGCGGGGCCGGCCGGACGGACAAACGGACAGAGGGTGCCGCGGACGCGCGGCCCGCCGGGGCCGGCCATGGAGGGCGCCTCGTTTGGCGCGGGTCGCGCGGGGGCTGCCCTGGACCCCGTGAGCTTCGCGCGGCGGCCCCAGACCCTGCTGAGGGTCGCGTCCTGGGTGAGTCGCCCCGGCCTCGGGTCCCGCGGCGCACCCGCGCCCCACCGCTCCCCAGCCCCTCGCCCCCCGGCCCCTCAACCGCATCCTTGCCGGCCCCTCCCCCGCCGGCCGCAGGTTGGGGTGACGTCACCGGGCTGGGCGCGCCCACCTGCGGTGGGGGAGGGGCGGGCGGCGAGAGAGAGGGACCTTGAGAGGTCACCGCCGGTCGCCCCTTCCCACCCCCCGGCTCCCCCTGGGGTCTGACGCGCTCTCCGTGCTCCCAGTCCTCCCGACCTGGTAGCGGGCACGGGGGTGGGATTTTCGGAGGGGCTGGGCGCCGAGCCCCGGCGCGAGGAGGGGGCTACGGGAGCCGAGAGGTACGGAGCAGCGCCGCCCCCCCCCCCCGCCCGCTCGCGTCCTCCAGGCTCCTTGGAAGGGAGCCGCTCTCCCACCCCCGTCCAGGTGCGAGGTGAGGGAGGGGCGACTGTGCGTGGGAGGGCTTCCTGGAGGCGGTGTGGGAGCGCCAGGTTGGGGGCGGCCTCGGGGGCACCCCCAGGACCGGCGCCGCTGCAGCCGCACCTCCGGCCAGGGTGGAGGAGGGCGGTGGCCGCGCTGGGAGAAGGGGCGGGGTCTTCCGTGGCAGCGACCCTGGCCAGACCCAGCTCGGGCACCGGTGGGCCACTCTCGGGGGCCCGTGCCCCGGGCTCCGGCGTCCCTAGCTGGGCTGGACAGGAGCGATGAGGCTGGGACTGGAGCGGGGCTTTGCTGCGGACTCGGGCGGCCCCGCGCGGGGGTCGCTCGCAGCTGGGGGGCGGCCGGTGCCCGGGAACGGTGGTCACGCTCGGGCGGGGCCCTCCCTCAGCGGGCGGGGCTGCGTGGACGCGCCCCTCCCCGGCGCCGCAGCCCTTGAGTTCCGGATCAAGGTGACAGCTTCGGTCCGCACCGTCGGGAGTGGCCGTGGAGCGGGGGCCCCGGGAGTGCCCGCGTCTAAGGGGGTCTGCAAGGACTCCGCGAGCGGGCGCTTGCCCGGCGGCGCAGTGGCGGCGGCCGGGGAGGGCGCGGGCCCTGACGCCGCCCACTGCCCGCAGGTGTTCTCCATCGCCGTCTTCGGGCCCATCATCAACGAGGGCTACGTGAACGCGGACAGCGGCCCGGAGCTGCGCTGTGTCTTCAACGGCAACGCAGGCGCCTGCCGCTTCGGGGTGGTGCTTGGCCTCGGGGCCTTCCTCGCCTGCGCCGCCTTCCTGTTCCTGGACGCGCGCTTCCAGCAGATCAGCAGCGTCCGAGACCGCCGTCGGGCCGTGCTGCTGGACCTGGGCTTCTCAGGTGGGCGGGGCCCTCGGGGCGGGGCCGGGGCGGGGCCTCGATGGGAGGCGGGGTCGGGCCCTGGAGTACGGAGCGCCTCTCGCGGCTAGGGGCGGGGCCGGGGCGGGGCCTCGCGGAGGGGGCGCGCGCCGCGCCTGGGGGCGGGGCCGGGGCGGGGCCTCGCGGAGGGCGCAAGCGCCGCTCCGGGCGCCGGGGCGGGGCCGGGGCGGGGCCTCGAGGAGGGGGCGCGCGCCGCGCCTGGGGGCGGGGCCTGGCCGGGCGAGGCTCCTCAGGTGGGAGCGCTGCGAGCGCGCGTCGCGGGGCGCCGGTGAGGCGCGCTCGTTTCGCCGCTGACGGCCGCCGCCGCCGCCTCAGGTCTCTGGGCCTTCCTGTGGTTCGTGGGCTTCTGCTTCCTCACCAACCAGTGGCAGCGCACGGCGCCCGGGCCCGGCACGGCGCAGGCGGGGGACGCGGCGCGGGCCGCCATCGCCTTCAGCTTCTTCTCCATCCTCAGCTGGGTGAGTGCGGCCCGGGACGGCGGGCGGGCGGGCGGCCGGGCCGCCTCGGGCCGCCCCCGGCTGACCCCGCTCCCTGCTAGGTGGCGCTCACCGTGAAGGCCCTGCAGCGGTTCCGCCTGGGCACCGACATGTCGCTCTTCGCCACCGAACAGCTGGGCGCCGGGCCGGGCCAGGCCTACCCCGGCTACCCGGTGGGCAGCGGCGTGGAGGGCACCGAGACCTACCAGAGCCCGCCTTTCACCGAGACCCTGGACACCAGCCCCAAAGGCTACCAGGTGCCCGCCTACTAGGGGGCGGCAGGTGGGGCCCCGGGCTCCAAAGCCACCCCGCCCACGCAGGCTCCAAGGGCTCCGGGACACCCCTCGGGTCCTTGCTGCGCAGCCCACTGTGGGCCCTCCGCGGCCGAGAGGGAGTGGCCTCTGGGGTGCCCGGGCTGTCCCCAGGCCTGAGGTCCCGAGGCGGCGGCGGCGGCACAGCCCAGGGCACGCGCGCTGCTGCCTGGAGTGGACGCCCCTCCCGGGCCGGCTCGCCAGGGGCTCGCTGCCCGCTCTGCTGCCAAGTGCAGGGGCTGCCCAGGTCCAGGGGCAGGGACAGCGCCCCTCCCAGGGCCAGGCGTGGCGGCCGCTGGCCCACCTCCCGCGTCCCCGTCATGGTGGTCTGTTGTCTGCAGCCCCCCTGCGTTTGCTCTCAGGCTGGCTTGTGCAGCCCGGCCCTGCCAGTGCTGGGACTGTGCCCCGATCTGCAGGTGTCACCCCGTCGTGCCCCCGGGCTCTCCCTCTGTAGCCCTGCCCAAGGCCCTGCCCCGGCCTGGTCCTTCCCTGAGGCCGTGCCTGGGGCCAGGCCAGGCAAGCCCCTGTGAGCGGAGATGCGCGAGGCTCCCTCTGTCCAGGGACCCCCGGGGCGGCCGGTCCACGCTCACCTCCCTGCCTTGGCTTCCCGGACGAACCCCTCCCCCCACCCGTAGCCAACCACCCGTGCATCGCTCGAAGCTGGCTTTTCGCGTTAAGTCCGGCCCCCAGTGTGGTTGCCACGTGTCATTACGGACAGTCGAGTGACAGCCCCTGTGCACTGTAGCGTAGACCAGTTAGGTGTGGATTCACGTGACCATGTTTACAGTTTTGTACATATCCCCGCCCCCTGACAGCGTCCGTGATGGTGTACTCCCTGTGTCCGTGTTCTGACCACGACTTCTTTACAATAAAGACTGTAAATGAGTTGACCGTGCCCGGCTACTCCTGGAAATCATTTTCACCCCAGGAAGGGCCGAGGGGTGGCGCTGAGAGGTGCCGGGGCCCAGAATTCAGGAGGGCTCAGGGAGATGGAAGCCAGGCCAACTCCCGGGGTCTGGGGGTCTCGTCCACGAGCCCCCACCACCCAGCACAGTGATCTGGGTAAAAACTGCGCCTCTCAGAACAGGCTCACAGGGCCGGCACCTGCATAGCGGGTACAGCTGCCGCCTGTAGCACCAGCGTCCCATATGGGCACTGATTCCGGTCCCGGCTGCTCCACGTCCGAGCCAGCTCCCTGCTAACGCACCTGGAAAGCAGCGGACGACGGCCCAGCTCCCTGGGTCCCTGCCACCGACGTGGGAGACCCGGATGAAGCTCCTGGCTTCCGCCTGGCCCGATCCCAAGCCTTGTGGCATGAACCAGAGGATGGAAGATTGTCTCTCTGTCTTTCTCTCTTTCTCTATAACTCTGACTTTCAAATAAGTAAATAAATCTTTTTTAAAGATATTTTATTTATTTAAGAGGCAGCGTTACAGAGAGAGAGGCGGAGAGAGAGTGGAGTCTTCCATCTGCTGGTTCACTCCCCAGATGGCTGCAATGGGTGGAGCTGCACCGATCCAGAGCCAGGAGCTTCCTCCAGGTCTCCCACATGGGTGCAGGGGCCCAAGGACTTGGCCGTCTTCTACTGCTTTCCCAGGCTGGAGCTGAAGTGGAGCAGCCGGGTCTAGAACCAGCGCCCGTATGGGATGCCAGCGCTGCAGGTGGCAGCTTTACCTGCTAAGCCACGTGCCGGCCCCGTAAATAAATCTTAAAAAAAAAAAAAAAAGGCTCCAAATGGAGTGACGCTCACCGCTTCTGCCCTTTTCTATAAGGAATGCCTTGTGGACCCAGGGTCCTCTTTGAAAGTGGGTTCCTGGGGTGTGGGCAGCGGGCTAGGCCACCACTTGTGACGCCAGCATCCCATAGCAGAGTGCAGGTTCGAGTCCTGGCTGCTCTGCCTCCAATTCCGCTTGCTGTAGTGTGACTGAGAAAGCAGAGGAGGGACTCCCGGCGTCAGCCTGAACCAGTCCTTGATGTAGATCCTTTAAAAACAAATTGCATTTGAAAGGCAGAGTTACCAAGAGAGGCAGAGACAGAGGTCTTCCATCCGCTGGTTCACTCCCCAGTGCCGCAGTGGCCGGAGCTGGGCTGATCCGGAGCCAGGAGCCAGGAGCTTCCTCCGGGTCTCCCACGCGGGTGCAGGGCCCAAGGACTCGGGCCTCCTCCACTGCTTTCCCAGGAGCATTAGCAGGGAGCTGGATCGGGAGGGCAGCAGCTGGGACTCGAGCCAGTGGCCGTATAGGGTGCTGGTGCCACAGAGGTGGCCCTGGAACGTGGCTTCTTACGGCTCGGGCTTTGCTGCATTTCCACTCTGTCCTGCCGGCCAGGAGTTTGTCTGCGTTCACAGTACCTGACTATACACGTCTCTGTGATCCCCGGGAATCTGCCACTGCGGTCCAGTGGCCTTAATCCCTCAGAATACCAGCCAGCCAGCCTTTGTCTGTTTCCGAAGTGTTTTAGCCACCTTAACAGAAATTGCACCCGTTAGATAAAAATAGTTCCTCATTCTGTCCCTAAATTGCCTGTTCTAGACAGTTCCTGTAAGTGCAATCATAGGATGTCTTTCGTTCTTTGACCCAGTAAAATGGTTCCACGTTCCTGCGGGCTGTAGCACATGTCAGTGCCTCGTCCTCTTGGCCAAATGCTGTTGCATGCTCTGTCCATCCGCTCACCTGTTGCCAGACACTGCCGGCTGTGATAACCAAGGCCCCTGTGGACATGGGCAGACAAGTGTCTGAGTTCCAGCTTTCCTTTTTTCTAAAAAAAATTCCTTATTTTTAAGATTTTATTTATTGGGCCGGCGCCGCGGCTCACTAGGCTAATCCTCCGCCTAGTGGCGCCGGCACACCGGGTTCTAGTCCCGGTTGGGGCGCCGGATTCTGTCCCGGTTGCCCCTCTTCCAGGCCAGCTCTCTGCTGTGGCCAGGGAGTGCAGTGGAGGATGGCCCAGGTGCTTGGGCCCTGCACCCCATGGGAGACCAGGAAAAGCACCTGGCTCCTGGCTCCTGCCATCAGATCAGCGCGGTGCGCCGGCCGCAGCGTGCTGGCCGCAGCGTGCAGGCCGCGGCGGCCATTGGAGGGTGAACCAACGGCAAAGGAAGACCTTTCTCTCTGTCTCTCTCTCTCACTGTCCACTCTGCCTGTCAAAAAATAAAAAAAATAAATAAAAAGATTTTATTTATTGGGCCGGCGCTATGGCGCAGTGGGTTAACGCCCTGGCCTAAAGCACTGGCATCCCATATGGGTGCCAGTTCAAGTCCCGGCTGCTCCACTTCCGATCCAGCTCCCTGCTATGGCCTGGGAAAGCAGTAGAAGATGGCCCAAGTGCTTGGGACCCTGCACCTGCGTGGGAGACCCGGAAGAAGCTCCTGGCTCCTGGCTTCAGATGGGTGCAGCTCCAGCTGTTGCGGCCAACTGGGGAGTGAACCAGCAGATGGAAGACTTCTCTCTCTCTCTGCTTCTCCTCTCTCTGTGTAACTCTGACTTACAAATAAAATCTTAAAAAAAAAAGATTTTATTTGAAATAATTAGAGAGGGGGAGTCAGAGAGGTCTTCCATCCGCTGGTTCACTCCACAAAAGGCTGCAACAGCCGGAGCTGCACCGATCTGGAGCCAGGAGCCAGGAGCTTCTTCTGGGTCTCCCAAGCATTTGGGCCATCTGCTGCTGCTTTCCCAGGTGCATCAGCCAGAAGCCGGATCAGAAGAGGAGCAGCGGGGACTTGAACCGGCGCCCATTTGGGATGCTGCACTGCAGGCAGCGGCCTCCGTTTTTAATTTTCAAAGTCAGAGTCAGACAGGGCTAGAAGGCAGAGATCTTCCATCGCTGGCTCTCCGAATGGCTGCAGCAGCTGGGGCTGGGCCAGGCTGGGCCGAGCCAGGGACTCAATGCACGTCTCCATGTGGGCGACAGGAGCCCAAGCACTTGACCGTCAGCTGCTGGCTCCCAGGGTGCACGGCCGAGACACCCAGGGCTTTTGCTCTGGGCGCAGTGTTTCAAGGTTGTCTTCACCGCCACACCGAGCACCTGGCCCTCGTTCCGCTGCTTTTTGTGCACACCTAGGAGGGAGTTGCTGGGTCACTCCGTAGCGTGTGGGCCTATGCTAACATGTGGAGGAAACTGCGGCCATTGAGAACGGGTCATTTGTGTGCACAGTGTGTTGCTCGCCTGTCTGGCGTGTGACGTCACACTTAGAGTTGTGTGCACACGGGTCTGGTTGCCTGTCCCTGCCACCTCCCCGGGGCTGGGGATGTGGGTGTTCACAGCATCATTTGCTGCTGCTGGCAGTGCACAGGGAGTTTCTGTTTGCTGTGGGCTGATGTGTCTAGAATATTCCAGAAGGATCATGCTTGTCGTGGGCTTTTTTTTTTTTTGAGACCTTCCATCTATTGGTTCACGCCCCAGAGGCCTCAGAGCAGCCTGGGCTGGGCCAGGCAGAAGCCAAGAACAGGGAACTCAATTTGGGTCTCCCACATGAGTGGCAGGAACCAAAGGACTTGAGACACTGTCACCCCTGGGTGCTAGAATTAGCAGCACTGTGGGTGAAGCCTCCACTTGCAACACTGGCATCCTCTGTGGGTGCCGGTTCGAGTCCCGGCCGCTGCACTCGTGAGCCAGCGAACGCACTGGGAAAGCAGCAGCAGGTGGCCCAGGTGCTTGGGAGGCCCAGAAGCAGCGCCTGGCGCCTGGCTGCCGCCACTGCGGCCGTTTCGGGAATGAGTCAGCAGGTGGAGACCTTCTGTCTGTCCCTCCGTCTGCCTGCAACTCAGCCTCTCTCATAAATAAATAACCTTTTAAAAGACAAAGCTTCAAAAATCAATCAATAAAATAAATGTTATGAAGTGGAGGAGGGACTTGGGACAGGTGTGGACGTTGCAAGCCGCATCTCAATGCTGTCCGAATGTCTGTGCCCTGGGTTTTCACTGTTCTCCTTTATTTGTATCATTTGTTTAAGATTTATTTATCCACTTGAAAGAGTGACAGAGGATGAGAGAGAGAGATCTTCTACCCACTGGTTCATTCTGCTGATGGCCACAGTTGCCAAGGCTGGGCCAGGCCACAGCCAGGAGCCAGAAGCTTCTTCCAGGTCTCCCATGCAAGTAGCAAGGGCCTAGGCGCTGGGGCCGTCCCCCGCTGTCTTCCCAGGCCATGAGCAGGGAGCTGCACTGGAAGTGGAGCAGCCGGGACTCGAATTGGGTGGTGGCCCCCTAATTGAGGCTTGTTAGTGATGATTAGGAGACAGGGGGACACGCCCACAGCACGCTCAGGTCACACAAGGGTTGGAGGTGTGTGGGGAGGGAGGGAGGGGCCCACGGGCATCAGGTCTCCCTTGGAGTCTGATTGGTGGCTTCAGAGCCACAGCCTGAGTTCCAGGCACAGCCTTTTTTTATTATTATTTTTTTTAAGATTTAGTTATTTGTTTGAAAGAATTACACAGAGAAAGGCACAAAAAAGGGAGATCTATGCGCTGGTCACTCCCCAGACGGCCACAACAGCCGGGCTGGGCCAGGCCAAAGCTGGAGCCCGCATGGGTGCAGGGGCCCGAGGACCTGCATCATCTTCCAATGCTTTCCCAGGCCACAGCAGAACTGGGTCGGAAGTGGAGCAGCCGGGACTCAAACTGGTGCCCTTAGGTGTGCCGGCATTGCAGGCAGTGACTTTACCTGCTACGCCACGTGCCAGCACCTCCAGGTCAGTCTTGAGAGGGGTCACCACAGTCTCTGCCCGTTTCCTGTGACAATGGGGTCAGCAGGTCAGGCAGGCAGGCCGCACCCAGCCAGCGCACAGGGAAGTGCCGGCAGAAACAGGTGCAGAAGGCGGAGGTGGGGATGAGCACACTTAAGAATGAGGGCGGGCAGGACACTGGGTCAAGGGTGACCGCGCCCTGCCCCCGGTATG